TATTAAGTTGCAGGCACAATCTTCATGCACAATTTTGCATTACATTTAAAACAAAATATATACTGTATATGGTGCCTGTTTAAAAACAAACAAACAAGATATTTCATTTCAACAAGGATACCACTATTTCTTTATGCATAGCAAAAAAGCAAACAGACATTGGCCAAAAAAAGTGCATAAGCATGAAAAATACTCTGAACCCGTAATCGCTCAACAGCGGGAACCCTTCATGGTCAGAATGTTCCACCATGTCATGAATCCTTAAGCAAACAGTTTTTTAAAGCCAATCTGTTGACCAACATCACCTGAGGAATTAACAGCTTAAAAATTTAAAGCATAACTTCATTTTAGCTTTAAATGTTGTTGCATCCAGTCACATCCATATTTTCGGTAACTTAAGAAGGGTACAAAAAACTTGTCTACATTAAGTTTGAAGAAATAAGGCATGAATAATCAATAAAGCACACAAAAATGAGTGTAACATGTAACAGTAGTACATTCATGAAGTTTACAGTAGCCACAATAAGACCGAAAATTCACTTTGAAATATGCAGCCACGGGACTTGAACATTTCGAGTGTGAAAATAAAATGTCAGGCAGGTGCTTCCTGTGGACACATTTGAGAATACACATCTTACCATGTTTTTTCCCCCCCCATTATTATTGAAAATAATTCTGTGTGGACACAATCATTAAAAATCAGATAGAACATGGTTTTCCAAGCAGAATTAAATCAGACTTTTCTGAAGTGACCATTCTGTCTGATTTTTAATTATTGTCCACATAGAATTATTTTCAATAATTTGTTACACATTACATTAGTGAGAACTGCGCTTAACTGTCTGTATGCAAAACATTTTGTTTGTTTTTTACTTGATTTGCAGGTGAAATATGACCCAGGCATTTCTTTGTGAAAATACATTTAGCCAAGACGGCATAGCAAATGCTACTGAATGTGAATTTTAAAAGGTATATGGGTCTAGACCAAAAAAAAAAAAAAATTATATTAAAGAATATATATATATATATGGGTAGGGTGACCAGATGAGATTGGCTGAAATTCAGGACGGGGACGGGGGGTAGGCCTACTATGATATTAGACTACATAGCCTATAATAAAATATGAATTTCAAACCTGAACCATTAGTCTTTAGTCTGCCACAAAAAAACAACATTAAAATCGTGAACTCACATGTCATTGTGAAAAAACAAAAACAATGACTGTTGTAACAATGTGTAAATCAGACCTTTCAGGCTATAGTCATTCATATTTTGAATGAAAATGAGCTTATCAATGTCTAAATCTAAATTCACGCCTACGGTATCTTTGTAGAACTTAAAAAAAAAGAGAAAAAAAAGATGCTGCAGCCAATGAGCAGCCGGCGGGGGCTGCAGGACGACTCAACCTCCACGGACAGTTTTTAATGTTTTATCAGACAATAACTACTCAAGGTTTTGCTTAAAGGAGAACTCAGGCGCAAAATGAACCTTTGGTCTAATTACACATTGTTACCTAGTCAACCGTTATCTGAGATTTGTTTTCATGATTATCGAATGTAAATAGTTTTATTTCTACAAACAGTTTAGCCTATAAAGCTAGTATAACGCTAGTATATTGGGCATAGAGTAATGACAAATAAAAATCGCTTGTTAATACCACTAACAAGGCTGAAAATAGCCCCACACTAACACGGTAGCATAATACCGTGTTAGTGTGGGGCTATTTTGAGCCTTGTTAGTGGTATTAACAAGCGATTTTTATTTGTCATTACTCTATGCCCAATATACTAGCTTTATAGGCTAAACTGTTTGTAGAAATGAAACTATTTACATTCGATAATCATGAAAACAAATCTCAGATAACGGTTGACTAGGTAACAATGTGTAATTAGACCAAAGGTTCATTTTGCGCCGGAGTTCTCCTTTAAGTATAATTTTCGGGACAATTAGGGCCGGATTCGGGATTCGGGACAACAGCTTAGATTTCGGGACGTCTGGTCACCCTATATATGGGTGATCCCCAAATCACCTTTATTCAAAGAGTTTCGCACCTTATCATAGCACTGCAGTACAGAATAAAATAAATCCATTTTACATAATTCAAGCCTTAATTTTAATTTGATAGTAGTGCTGTTCTAGCCTCGTGAGACCATCCTGATCTCGCGAGCTTTCAAGGTTTCACTCGCAGATCAGCCTGGATACTTTCCGTTAAAGAAAATTTGGGAGCAGTTCACCAAACGAACGTCCAATCAGCGTTGGCTTTGAGGCGGGCTGAGGTGTGACGCAACGAGAAGCGCGTCAGTTCAGTCTAAAGAACATGTCGGCTTCAGCGGATGAAACTAGCATCAGCGTGGCTATCGAGCAAGTTTTATCGGAATTACAGAGTATTTCTTCACTGAAAGAAGAGCAAAACACTGCTCTGGAGGCTTTTCTCAGAGGAAAAGATACGCTCTGTTAGTACGTCATATGCTTCGTTGATCTGATTGGTTGATTTGGCCCGTCTATCACCAACATAGGCCAATCAGCTAACCAGTATTTTCGCCCCTTACCAAAACTACTTCAACGGAAGGTTTCCAGATGGATATGCGGAGCAAATCCATCTGGCGGAGTCAGGTTAGTGCTGTTCAGAAGGCATGCAGTTTTTCTATGAAAAGCTTTGAAACCTGTTTAGTCACACTGGACCCCATTCATGAAATAAACAATGAATTTCCGTCTAAATGATTCGTAAAAACTATTTATGATAAATTGTAAACTTTTAATTAAATGTGTTAAGTTACATTAAAGTGAAAACAAAAATCACAAAATTCATTCTGGTTGTGTTTCATGAATGAAGTAAACCATTTTAAAATTGACGAATCTCCAAACTCCAATAGTATTTAAATTTGAAATGAAAATTCACCCTATTCTCTAATGTTACAAACCTTATTGTAAACAATCCATCTATGCAATGTCAAAAAAAATATACAACTGGACCTTCAAGTGAAAACGTATGCCGGATTCTCGGATCATTTACACTGCGTCCGAAATCGAATACTTTGCTATTATATAATAGTGTTGTCACGATACTGGAATTTCCAACTTCGATACAATACCTTGAAAAATATCAAAGTTCGATACCACGTGGAAAACTGCCATACCCCCATACAGATAATATTTCTAAATGTTGTGATAATTTTGTTGTAATAGATTACACACAGCACAGGGAGGCTTTATTTGAATCGCTGAACTAGATTTATGGGGAAAAAAGACAAGTAAACAAAAGAAAACTGCAAGCTATAGCACAAATAAAGACAATAGAATTACGAGAAATGAAATAAACATGGCTTTACGTTTTCAGGTGGGTCTAACAGTATTCAGGTAAGAAATTTCAGAAATGAAACTAATCAAATGTCAAACAACACTGGATAGTTTTCATTGTAAAAATTAAAGACAAATTAATGCTTACAAATTAAAGTTACAAAAGTTATTCAGTCAAGATCAGCGAGTAATTTTCTTTTTCTTTTTTCCTTTTTATTAACATGACAGAAAACAGCAGGTTTATTAGGCTGCTGTCACTTTAGGAGCTAATGCACAGGTCCAATATACTGTTACACAACGCGGTTTCTCGTTCTCTCCAAAAACTGACTGTTTACCTGAATACCCAGCAAGATGTCTTTGACCGTTGAAGTCCATTTGGTATTGGCGAGCCGTTTGAGAGGGCCACTTATATAGATCAGTGATGCACTGCTTTTGGTGTAAGCGCAAAACCTGCTGGAATAAGTCAAATTATGTGCTATACAAGAACTATATAACCGGAGCGAATGAGATGAGTCAGTGAGGGTAGGTGGCTGTGTGTCACCAACTAAGAGAAGAGAGAGAGCGAGAGGTATCGCAGCATCAATACATAACGGAATATCTCGATTTTTGACAACAATATTACATAGTATGCGAAAAACAGTACCCCAACAGAGTAGTATGTCCAAATACATAGTATTCAAAAAACAGTAGGCGAAAATAACACAGACGACCTACTACTTCCGCTGAGATTCTGAAGAGCGCATTCGATGGACCCTTTACTGTCCCATGAGGCCACGGGAGAGGATTTATGAATGGCAGTGAAGCGACGCAACTGACGCCGTAGGTCACATGACAGTGAAAACAGGGCGGAAAACATCCGAGTTCATTCATAATAAGCACATTCATATTATATTGAATGTACTTTTTTATGCTTGCAAAGTAAGTTTCAAACCAGATGTAGTCTACTATACAGTATGCCATTTCGGACGCAGCGTCAGTCCGCCCCCCTCAAACTCGAATTCATCTGCCACACCCACATCTCAACATCCAATCAACAACCTATGCATAGAACGCAAGTCCCCTCCTTACATTTTTTCTTTTCGGTAATCCATATCCATGTACGTCACAATATGAAAGAAAAGATCTCCCATTTCATCGCAACTGGAAATCCTATATTTAAAAGTAAATGTTCAGAATTGCAACATCATGAACGCAACAGGTCTTAGCCCTAACCCTGAGGTCAGAAAGGTTTTATAATTTATTGTTTATATTTTTGGCGACAATGCTTTAATTAGCAAACTGTGCTTTAACTGTTCGCTTGGTAAAACGCTTTTGGAAGTTTATTTTTTTTTATTCAAACTGCGCTATAGTCATTCACATGCATGGATGTCTTCGTTCACATCTTGTGTTTTTTTTTAGCATACTTCTATGGGTATTGCATTTCATTCCAGTGCACACAGTCTAGGTGTCTTTCCCCCTAAGAAAGTCAGCAGAGCGGGTTAAGGTGAACCCTCAGCGTATCTAAATTGAAAAAGACTTCCGTAAGTCATTCAATCAACCTACAAACTAATCGGCTGCCACAATATTTGTTGAAAATATTATATGGTCATCAAAGCATCCCATAAAACAGAAACAGCCTCTCCAAACCATTCGACCACATTAGAAAGGCTGCTTTACTGAATGTGAATAGAGAAGAGGGCACGTAGATTGGCATCAGGTTCATCCTGTCGCAGTGACCATGTCTTGCTGCCTGGCACATTTCACACGCTATATACATCCAAACAATAAAACAAGTATGTACTCAACTCACATACTCAAGTGAAGCAGTATCACTCAAAAACAGCACTTGACTGGAAGATGACAGAGATGGAGAGAGATTTCAGTAGTTAAAAGCCGATTTTTCCCCTTGTCATGGCGTAGCCCAGTTTGGCTTCATTGTTGATGAAGGACATGATGCCCAGGTAAGTCTCGATAAGGAGTGGCCGCTCCAGTATCAGCACGCCATTGGCTCGTCCCGGGATGGGGAATTCTTTATGGGCTTTTTTCACAGCCTGGATGAGCTGGGTCTTGAAATTCTCAAGCTGAAATGGAGAAAATAAATCTTTATCTGACTTCTTATGCATATAGTCTGTATGGAGTATGAAGAGCACACTGAACGATTTTAGCCTCTGAGATTAAGGGTACATTTACTCGACAATGATGTACTAAAAACGGAAACATTTTTCCTTTGCGTACAGATGACAACATTGTCAACATTGCTTTTGTAATAAAGTGCAGCACTATTGTATGTGGTATGTTTGTTTTCATTCAGTATCCCTTCTACAAACTATCGGTTTATTAATCGGCCAGCGTGGTGGGCCAATCGAGTTATCGGTAAAATTCACAATCGGTCAACCTCTAATTAATTTAAAATACACTGAGGTGTGTGTCAGCTCGATATTGGTGAGAAGAGAAAGTGAGAACACAGCTGATATCAGTGTATCAATAATGCGGAACAGGAGTATTAAAACCGTTTCAAACATTTCAGTATTGATGATATAGGGGGGGGGAAATGAAATTTTTGACAGCACTAGTACTAAAACACATTTACCTGGCAAAGGGAAGCCACCTTTTCATCTGCGTGTGCCATGGGGTGTTTAGTGAAGGTGGCGAAGGGTATGTCAGTGGACCAGGGGTTCCAGCGATTTATGAACGAAGGTCTTGGTCGCTTATCCCACTGGACACGGATTCCCGTTCCCTCTCTCCTTCACACACACACACACACACACATCTGATCGTACCGTATAATACTACCTAAATCTCTCTTCTTTTTTTCATGTTTGTTACACACTGCCCGGCCAAAAAAAAAGTCACTGTTTGGATTTAAATAGGCAAATGCTTATTTGTCAAAAAATAAATGATTGGATCATTTTTCTAGTGGTTATTGTGTTTCTAGCATGTTATATGTTTGGCAACAGTTCTTCCAACCCTAATTAATGGAGTGTGTAGCTTTTCATTTCTCAAACAACCATGTAGGAAGACACATCATGGCCATATTCCACCAAAAATTGATGCAGCTCTTGATGGAAATAAATGTTGTGATGTTATTTCCATCAAGAGGTGCATACATTTTTGGTCAAGATCTTGTATTGACAATGCAAGAGTCCAGCTCTCTGTAAAGTCTCTCAAAGACTGGTCTAGACTCAGTGCCAAACATATAACATGCTAGAAACATAATAATCACTGCAATAATGTTCAAATCATAGACTCTTAAGCATTTGCCTATTTAAATCCAACTTTTTTTTTTGTCCGGGCAGTATAGTATGTAACAATGTTTTGGGTAATTAACAAAATGTGGAGAAAACCCTCAGATATGCGTCTAGATGTTGAGCAGCTATACTGGGCCAAAAATGCTTGAGAATGAAAGCCTCTTACTTGTTGAGGGATTTTGGAGGAAACTCAAACTCGCCGACAGAGATCGTGTCCACAGCGTTCAAGGAAATTCTGATGACCTGGTGACACTGGAGGTTTATGAAGTCATATTTGCACACCAACAAAGACCTAAGACATAACAGAAGCAGCTCTTTCATGACTGGTTTCCAGCTACAAATCTATTAAACATCATTTTCAATGATGACATACTTACCTCTCTGTTATAAGAACCAATCTTTCTTTTTCATTGTTCCAGTAATCAATTCTGTGGTAAAATATAAAAAGGACATGGATCTGGTTGAACGGATATCTCTCAGATTTCATCAAGGGGTAATTCTCATTCTGAAAGCCCAATACAACTGTCAAGCTCAAATTCTGCTACATGCCATAGTGTAGTGGTACCATGGAACAATGATGTTATTAGATGGTGATATCACAGTATTTTGATGTATGTTATAGTACTGGCAATTATTGATATTCCATTGTACTTACATAATACTGCGTTAATTACATTTACATTTCACACTGCACTTATACTCATAACCCCGGGTTATCGTCGCTCTAAACCCTGCTTATAACCCTGGGTAAAGTGACGTTTCACACTTGTAATTTAGAAGTGGGGTTTGCACCACTTTTTACCCAGGGTTATGAAATATGGTTCCTAAACAGGGTTAGTGCCGCTTTTGCGGTGTTGATATTATGCTTCAATCTGTAGATGTCCTAAGAAAGGGCAGCAATAGACTCACTCTGCGAGCAGCCACACACTAAGAACCTCTCCGTCTTCTGAAGGCAAGGCAACCGTGCGGATATCATTGACTGCCTGCTCTATGGTTCCTGGCTGGGACGAGAACAAACAGAGCAACTATTTTAGATGCTTGAAACAACATCAAATTAGCATGGGTGTCAAAAAATATACATCAACAGTCTTATAAGAAAGATACAACTCATACATTGTCTACCATGTAGTTAAAAGGGGTTCTCAACCTTTTTGACTTCAAGGTCCCCCATTGTCCACAACAATATTCAAAGCCCCAAGACTTGTTGTGTGTGTTTACTGAGCAAGGTTAAATGATAAGCATTTTTTAACCTCAATTTCTACCTGTTAAAATATTTTAGAGCTTTGCATTTCTAGGAAAATTTATTTTATAACTCTTCCAGGTTTCAAAATCTCACCTTTCTAATTGGGCTACCGCATAAATTCATGTTTTCTAAGACAGTGGAATCCTAGTTCCTAGTGAATCCTAGTGTGACGTTTAGTGTCCTGTCCAAGGATGATGAAGCGATAATCCAATGAGCATAGTAATGTCAGTTTTCATCAAGGGGTAATTCTCATTCTGAAAGTCTACCAAAAATTAAATAGTATACACAAGTTTACGCGCCAAATCATGGGCGCCGCCATAACTCTACTTAAATGCACTTCATTTCCGCCGGAAGAGGTTTGCACACAGCGTCTGCCGGTGTACACAGCGACGGTTCCACGACTGGAGATGGCGTTACTATCCCCCACCCGAATTCAGTGCAGAACACTAACATGACGACGTGGCCCAGCATAACGTACAGCGAGATTTGCTCCTACTTCGTGCAATCCATGGCAATAGATGGAAAAGCAATTGGACAAACTGAAAGCCGTCGAGGCATATCAATATCTGCACAGCAACAAAGTCGGTTGTGTCATGTCATACACAGCTAGATAAAACAGACATAACGTGCAAATAACTATCAGTTTATGTCCGTGGTAATAGCAAATGTATCTGTGTGTTACTTTAATGTTTCTTTTAACATAATAACAACAATTGTGGCTAAATAAGTGTTTGCAGTTTATAGCTTAATCAGGGAAGACATTTACATGATTATAGGAAATAAAAGAAGCATGTTGTTGCGGATGGAATACGTGTTTGTATTTGGAAAACGGACTGTAACCTATAACATGACTTACTGCTGAGCTATAAATAAAGACATGATCTCTTTTGCAATTATCCTTATGACTCTGCATTGTTTTACCTGCTGTGTACCAACCAACCATTTTACCGGTTAAAATACCTTTAAATGTCGAAACTAACCCCTTAAAATGCAGTAGCCTATTCTACTTACAACAAAACGATTGAAGCCTCTACTTATTGCAATAAATAATGCAATCACTTTTCGGCACCGTGCCGGATCTCCGGCGTGCGGCCGTGAGAAAAATATTTTCCCGATTCATTTTTGTCCAGCTTTAACGTGTTAAAATATTTAATGCAAACGCAACATCTGTTCTTTCTGTCATCCTTTTGCTAGGGTTATGACCATTCTCTTATTCACGCAAATGCTTTAACCACTCATGCGCGACAAGACAAAAGAGAACGCGCTGTCAGTGAATGTCCTCCTGACGATCCGAACTATATCATAGGCTTCTTAGCTAGAGTGCAAAGTGTGTGTGTGTGTGTGTGAGCCATGATGATAATAATTAGGCGATCGAACTGTGTGTGAGAGAGAGGCGCGGGCGCGATACTGTGTGAGTGTGTTTGTGTGTAAACAATGGAGCGCATGGACCTCTTCGTAGCTGGTTTGCGGTCGTAGAACTCTCTATCTAACCACTCGTTCAGGTGCTTTCTCGAGTGTTTACAACCAACTATCACACACATCGTTCCCGAACCACATTTCTTCATGTTGTAATTGTTATGTCACTGCGATATCAGCGCTTTGTCGGAGCTAGCTAGCAAAACAAACCCAGCCCGCCAGAACGGAAGTGGGTTGCATCGACGGGAGGAGTTTAGGATGTAGAGCGGAAACGGCTCATAAACTTGTGTATAGCTAGCCTAAGAAACTGTCTTTGCCTTTTTTTTGGTTAAAAAATTTAAACTTTATGTGAAAGCTAGTGAGTTTTGTTATGTTAGGTGGGCGTCATAATTAAAGTTAGTTTCATATGTTATAATGTCCCTGTATGTACAGCATTTTCACTGCACTTCATTCCAGCTAAAACGAGACTACAGTCATAAATCAATGGTGGTGTCACAAAACATGCCGTTCTCCCTACGTAGATCGCATTTTCGGGCAAAGAAGGTGTATTATAGGCATTATGGCCATATAGGACACGTTCTTGCGTTCTTACAACACGTGTCAAATTAAAAAAAAATTGAACGTTTAAACTATGAATTTTGTCACTGCACTCCCGATAAACGCAATCGACGTGCGTATGACGCACATCCATGCTGTCTAGTTAGGCAGCTTCCTAGGTTTTGACATACAACCCTGTCAAATCAACACACTAACAAACAAATCATTTCCACAGATTACAACCTTGGACGTTTTATAGCAAATACTGGTTTACTTGCTCACCCTAAAGACGAAGTAGTCTTTGACTTTAGCTCGCATGGTTGGGTTGTGAACATGGAAAGGCGTGAGGGTCTGAAGCGGGGTGCAGCAGGCCACTGAAGCTCCAGCACGGGCCACCACCTCCAGCCCATCATCACAGTCCCCCGGGTGTAAGACAGCCGCACCCGGGCTCTCTGGATCTACACTGTCATTCAGCTGCAGCATTTCACTAAAGCGTCGAGCAGAGCACAAGCTGAAAGTATCTGTGAGAAGTGAAGAGATTCCGCTTAGTTCCAGCAGCGCTGTGTTGCGCAGGGGAACGCCCACCTACTCCACTATTCAGCGGATTTAAAGGGACCCGTTCCGTTTATGAGTTAGCAGCGTCATCACGATGTTTAAATAATCAGTTCAGGGGGTCGTTCTATAATTTAGGGTACATTTCATGTCCATTGATAATATATTTTTTCTAACAATTGCCTTCAGAAATATATTTTATCCATTAAAAGAATTCTCACACCAATATTTGTAATGCAACTTTTTTTCCCAGTTTGCTTTAAATTGTCTTTATGTCCCTTAAATTACGTTTTTTACAGTGTTTTTTTAAGTGAGTGGGTCTTGAGTTCAAAATACTGAATAAAATAGATTGAGTTTAAATGTAATTCTTTCAAATAAGAAAATATTTAATTTCTATTTTAAATTTATGTCTGCAGATATCCTGTCAACTATTTCAACAACCAAACACTGGTTTGGCACGAGGCCGGTCCGGTCCGCGCCGCGCAGACTATGATTGACAGCTACCTCATGTGCGAGGGCGGGTCTGTGTTGAAACGCTCCCGTCAATCAACAATCGTGGGAGGGGCGTCCGTTTTATTGACGTCACAAAAACGAACGGCTTGATTTGAGGCAGGGGAAAACATATAAGGAGATTAAAACAAAACCACTGGATGGATTTTTATCATTATATGATGTTTGTGTACAGGCACTGCCAACACACATTTCAGTACAATCAACTTGTAAAAGTGCATGTACCATTATATGACCCCTTTAAATACTGCTCATAACTACCCTGGCTTAACACAGTTGTGTGCATTTTTGCAGGGGGGAATGGCTCTTAAAAGAGCCTTTGAGTTATAAAGTAAACAACAACAAAAATAGGTGAGAGAGATGGAGGACTAGAGTAAGAGAATAATTAACACAGCAAAACTAACAAATATACAAAGTAGGCTAAAATAGCAAAAGTGGTACCCAGGGAATATAAATGGGGATGACAATGCCAATGTTTTTATGTTCAATTAAATAAATGTATACTTATTAATAACAATAATATCAAAATAGTTTACATTTAACCAATTTATTTATAGAAAAAAAGTCCTACAATATAACTTTGTATATTGTATTAACTCTTAAATCCTATTTTTCTTCTCCTGGTTCAGTTTTGCCACTGTATTTCTTTTTAAGGGCCTTGTTTTAACACTATATCCTAAAAGCACCAAAACCACACTATATATACACACACACACACACACACACAGGCCTACGATGCTTTTGGGAAACCCTGCCCTAGTTATTTGTGTGATATGGTGAGTAAAGTTACACGATCTTATTTTTACACCACTTCATTTTATCATCACACTAAACGCCACTTCAGAATTAAAAATTGTAAATAAAATTAGAGGAAGAAGAAGAAGAGTAGTTAGCCTGTATTTACCTTGCAGCGATGAACAGCGGAAATGCAAACATGTTAAAAAACGACGTCAAGAGTTCACGGGCGCGGCCCCACCTCGATCGACGTCATCACTTTGCCACTAACCAATGAGAAGCATTGTGCGCGGGGCTGCACGTGCAGCCCCGCCCCAGGTGCACCCCCGCCCAAATCTGCAGGCTGCAGCCAGGTGCTTCTCCGGACCCCACCATATACCATTTCGGAACTATATCCTGATTGGTCTTAACCCTAGTGACGGGCAGAGCCATATAGAGTGACACTCCATATAGAGTGACACTCACCCAGTAAAATCCGGACCCCCACGATGGCCTACCTTACCCCTAACCCCGCCCCTAAACCTACCCGTCACCAGAGCAAGGGGGTAATCCATCGACCGGAAGTTGAAGCCGGCCGGGTGCCGCCATGTTGTAGCAGAACTTCACTTGCGTTAGCATTTCCATTGACTCCCATTCATTTTTGCGTCACTTTGACAGCGAATAACTTTACATCTGAGGCGTTTAAAGACTCCATTTGTCCATTATTTATTTCTAAAGAAACACGACAATGTATAAAGGGCTCCATTACCTTCTATGTTACACTATGGCCCCGTAGAAACAGATTTAGTAAAAATAGGCTAACGATTGCGTCATAACCACTCGACTCTCTGTCGCGCTGTTCAGAAGTTACCGTACAGACAAGAGGAGAAGCTCGCAGGCAATCGGGGGGACGTCCCGTCAAGGGAGAAGCCCATAGATAATGAGTCCATAAAAGCAACGGAATTCTTACTCCTGCTCACTCACGCCAAAGAACTCTTTGCTCAAGTTCCCCGTCTCTGCAAGATTAACGTTGGCAGTTTTCACGCACAGCTACTAGAAGATTAACGTCTGTCAGACAGGTTGCTCACGTCATCAAGCTTAGTTTGAGTCGGTCTGAGTCTGCGCGTCAGGAACGGAAGTTCTCAAAAATCGCTAAAAGTGGGCTTCAACTGTCTCAACTGAGTTCCAATGAGATCGCTCTGTCCATTTCTTTTACTGTCTATGCATCAGAGCCATATAGAGAGAGAGTTGCGTCTCTCTATATGGCTCTGGTGACGGGTAGGTTTAGGGGCGGGGTTAGGGGTAAGGTAGGCCATCGTGGGGGTCCGGATAACAGGAAAGTACCGGATTTTTTTTTTTAAGAGAGAAATTGTTAAATTGCACTTTTAAATGAAATTATTGGGTTTCGACTTATATATCTAATGATACAAATAAAATAAAAAAACATTTAATTGGTTTAAATCTTTATCTTACTAAAGTTAAAGCTACAGTCCGTAGCTTTTCCTCTTTGTCGCCATCTCTCTTTTCGAAATCTGTAACTGCAGTGATTCGCGGAATTATCATCTTTACGTGGGTTGTAAATCGGCATGAAACAGCGCGGATGAACACAGTGCTTTGAGGCGAGTGCTGCTGTCAGTCACCGCGCTGTGTGGATACTGTCATTCAGAATCACAGATTCACTTTTTGAAAGTTTGACCAACATAAGAATTTTCATAAGAAAATGTCTTCTGAACAAGTAAGTAACATCCATTTTTGTTCTGACCAACTAAGGGGGAAAAAGCATTCGACATGATAAGCTTCGTTAGATTTAATCAACGCGATTTACAGCAACCGTGCAAATTATAGCCTACTTTGTTCACAAATTGTTCATGTTAACAACATCAGCATTGCGTGACTAATGTTAAATTTAATGTGTTTTATGGTTACCTGTGTAGTTCAGAATTCATATTCTCCATAATAGCAAAACGAGAAAGGCACAACCAAGGAAACTCCATAACTGTGTGAATTAAGAAAACGTACTGTTACACGATTGAACTATTGAAATGTCTTACTTGTTCAGCAGAAAAAAGCCGTCTCTTCTTCCGTTTTGAACCCCTTCAAAACACGGAGTTCACGCACTTTTCAAAAGCCCCGCCGATGTTTAAATCCTTGTGTTCGCATGAGACGGTTTCTTTCTCTTTCTCTAGCCACCTTAAATCCGAAGTACGAAGTCTTTTGGGTTTTATAACTGCTGAATCTCCAGTTGATACTGATGATTGTTGTTTGGATCTTTCTGGATGCCATAAGTTTAATTATGTAAAGTGCTGCAGAAAAGCCTATACATCTAAACATCTCGTCACGCGCAGTATAGCCGGCTAGCTGAAACTCCTTCTTTATGTGTACGGGTGTGACGTCATGACTCAAAGACATGCTCGAATTTCCCGCGGAAACCCACCAGTACCACTGGAATTAAAATCACTAGTGCAAAATGGCAGTGCAAAATAATTTTTTTGTGTGTGTTTTTAGCAATTGTTGGTTTGGTGTATTTGAGTGCTCATTGTTACAATTACACAGCAAAAGTTCAGTGACATTTTTATTTGTGCATGGTAGAAAGCATACTACTGACATAATGATGCATTGGAGGATATATTTAGAGTGGATACAGATACATGCCCGTGAAAGATAGTGATAATGTTAAGCATGACACAGTAATATATTTACATGGCCGTGAAAGATAGCGATAATGTTAAGCGCACCAGACTTAAATAATATATTAAGCAGAAAAATGAAAGTTTGAAGAATACAGATCCTATTTATTTTGCATTCGCATGAAGCTGCAGCTTAAAAATGCATGAATTACACTTACGAATAAGAGTTAAATGCTGCAAATATTTTTTTCTTACACTTGAAGGGCGATTTACACCTTTACAAATCTTCTCTTGCACATGCAAATTTAATTTACGCCTGCAATCTTATGTACGCTTTCACAAATCTTACCCTGTGCATGCGATTCTTTATGTCATAATTTTACCTTCATAGATTTGCTGTCACACGATCGGTAAGAGGATTACTATACTCGTTAAGCTCGTTAAAGCCTGCTATATACTGTTGAATAGGCAGGGCAACTATTTACCATAGCATATTAAACATCACATAGTTAACATAGCACATGCTGTCACACGATCGGTAAGAGGATTACTATACTCGTTAAGCTCGTTAAAGCCTGCTATATACTGTTGAATAGGCAGGGCAACTATTTACCATAGCATATTAAACATCACATAGTTAACATAGCACATGCTGTCACATGATCGGTAAGAGGATTACTATACTCGTTAAGCTCGTTAAAGCCTGCTATATACTGTTGAATAGACAGGGCAACTATTTACCATAGCATATTAAACATCACATAGTTAACATATACATGCTAACTTCAGCGCGCATGACAGATAATGTTAATAGCATTTACTACAAATGATGGCCGTGAAAGAGACTGCGAACGCATTAAATATAATATTAAGAAGTAAACAGCGTAGCTGACTGACAGATTAACAAATGAATAAGCGCGACGATTCAGGGAGCAAATCTGCTTTCTTCGTCCCTGGTCCTGCGCTGTGCTCACTCAGTGTGCAGTGTGAGAGGGGGAGTGGCCAGCGGCTAGAGCCGTAAAAACATATATATTTAGCGATATCTTTTGCATTTCTAATCCAAACAACGTCAAACTCGGCACTGCACTTACTCGTGCCCGTAGCAAGACACCTGTCAAGTTTGAGATCCATCGGACTAACGGTTCGAGAGATATGCGATTAACAGACAGACAGACACACACACACACACACACACACACACAGACATACGTTCCTGTAATTTATAGATTTTTTCTAATCCAAACAACGTCAAACTCGGCACTGCACTTACTCGTGCCCGTAGCAAGACACCTGTCAAGTTTGAGATCCATCGGACTAACGGTTCGAGAGATATGCGATTAACAGACAGACAGACACACACACAGACACACACACACACACACACAGACAGACATACGTTCCTGTAATTTATAGATAGATTATTTCAAGCTAACCGTTTTGAATCTAGCTATGGCAAGCAAGCAGATAGTTTTGACCACTGGCAGAATAAGTTTTTTTTAATATATTTTTTTGGGATTATTTTTAACTTAAAAAAGCTACGGACTGCAGCTTTAAGAAAAACAATCTTATTTCCATTTGAATTAAGATTATTTTTCTTGTTTTCCATTTGAATTAAGTTTTTTTTTTACCCCATTGGCAGATAATTTTGCTTATTTTAAGCAAAAACTCACTTAATTTAGATTTTTTTTTTTATCGGAAAGCAAGATAGAATTTCTTATGTCATTTTACTCATCTAGGAAATGCTTCTTGATTTAAGAATGTTTCGATATTTAGCTTGACCTCCCTCTCTGGACATAATGGGTGGAACTTGAAGATCCAGCTGAGCCAACCCTAACCTAACCCTATAAACATATCCCTAAATCTAATTACATTAAGATCCATTCATTAGGTCCACAGAGGTGGAGCTTGACTTTTGAAACATACCTTGGCACCTCCTAGTTGTTTGATCATAAAATGCCATTTGTCTTTAGACAGTGCACGTGAAAATACTGAAGTGAAGTCAGGATTTTACTCATTTACTCATGAGAGGAATATAAATCACATTCAGAAAGTAAGTATCACAATTGATTAAATTATTTTCTCCTGTTTATCAAAGGTGTACAAAAAAATACAGAAAGCCCTATTTAGTACACTATGTACTAACAATATTTATAACATCTTAAATGTAAAACAATGTATTTTAATGTATTTATTTTAATTTCATTTGATGTAAAACAGATTATTATATGCTCTTTAAAGCACATAATTCTGGGAACAGAAAGTGTATTTTATTGTGTGTTTTAATACTCTGATGGTAAAAATAGCAAGACTTGGTAACATTGGATCACATATTGTAAGGATTTATTGATTTATTTTGATTGTTTTTATGCTTTGTTAAAGTGATGCACAGAGAAAGATCAGAAATATTTAAAAGATTCTGTTCTCAGTGAAAAGTACTCAAATTGCCTGTATAGCAAGCTGCAGTAAAGTAAACATATAACCTAGCAATAAAATCACTATCAGGGAGAACAAGGAACAAAACAGTACAGCCTGCAAAACATTGGACTCTGACTCATTTTATTTGAAATCAACAGATGAAATTATTCCTTAATGTCTTGACTAATACATTTGTTAATGTATTTACATTCATTTAGCAGCCTTAATATTTGCAGTACACTATGTCAAGTAAAAGTATTCTAGTATACAATCTAAAGCAGATGTGAAATTTAGAAAAGAAAAGTAAAAGAGAACATTTTTGTAGGAAGTTATTAGTGTTTATGGCGGGGTATGTTTTTCCAGAAAGTTGGTATCAGCAGATTGGGTAAAGGTTGGCAGCTCGTTCCAGGAACTGAAACAGGGAGGGTTTAAGGTTCTAGAAACCATCATATAAGCACTATAAATGGTGAACATACAATCGGTACAAATGACCAGGCTGTTGTTGCAATGTGGATAATAAAGCTCAACTGGTCATCAAACACTATCCCAAAGATCCTTGTTGTTGCTGTCATAGAACCCAATTGAAGAGTGATGCTGTGGTCGACAGACAGGTTGACTGCAGTTCGATCAATCATAAAATAAACCAAATTAATCTTCCAAGTGAATATAAGTGTGGAGATAATTGCTTTATAAAGACTGTTTTGACAAAGGACTGTGTAACAGAAAGGTTCTCTTCTTAGATGACTGAAAAAATTGCAGTTTGATCACAGATATCCGTCATGACCTCCAGAAAGAGTCACTATAGAGAGCATGAAATAATGGACAAGAGGTGAGAATAAAACTCAAATTTTTATTATGTTAAAATTTGTGTTGTTTAAACTGTACAGTTGTTTTGGCAGCGGACTACTTTAAAACACATTCACTAATTTGTTAGTTATTTGTCACTTATGTAATATTTGTGTGCATTGGGTTTGCCAGAGCAACAATGTCACACACCTTATCAAGTGTTTAATCACCGGCAGCAACAGTCATGGGTCACTTGTGTGCATTTATAGTCCCCTTAAAATCAAAACTGACAAATCTTTTTTTTTTTTTTTTTATGGAACATTGCAGTATTTATTATCTTGTAGATTTCTTGTAATCTCCACTGACTTCAACAGTCAGATCTAGCGCACTGGCAAGGCGCCATTGACTGCTGTTTGTGAAAATTAGTTGTGATACGTCAACTTGTGGAAATCCATGATCTTATGCGCCAGAGAAACAAGCACGCAGCCAGCTTTATAATTTTGTGTTTGAACTTCCGTTTTAGCGGTAGCCCTGTATATTTCTGGCATCAACATCAAGGAGTAATTCGCTGGTGAAGTGGATTTACTTATTGTAAAGTTAGCGAAAGTTATCATGAGCATTGTAATGTTTGAAGCAGATGTTCTAACAAATGTCAGTAGACTGGGAAAATTTTTAAATGAGCGGTTCATTCTGTTAGATCTTACCTTCATGCTGTGGAAATACTTACCGGAAGACAGAACACAACGAGCGCATCAATGAAAGGGGCGGGGCTACATAAGGTCTAAATTTGCTGCCTCAACTGCAGTGTTATTCGCAGAAGCAAATAACGTATTCAGGGATGTGTATCCCGAAAGCATCGCTAGCCAACTATGGTCGCAAGTTCTGTCGTTACCAAATTTGACGTTTCCGGAAACCGTAGTTCAAACGAACATTCGCAAACAGCTTGAACTGTGGTTAGAAGTATAGTTTCCTGTTAAATTTCATGTGTGGACTTAAATAGATTGTGCTCTTGGGCACAGTAAGCAAGCTAACATTCAGCACATTCTATATCTTTTATCCTATTTAATATATATACTTTTAATCTATATATTTTTACATGTCAAGTTAACAACCAGCGCCTTTTTTGAAAAGTGTGCATGTGCATAAACCGCAAGGGTACTCCAGAATATGCCGTATGAAGGAACCCGCGATGAATCAAAAATCAAATAAAGCAAAATGACATGGGGAAAAAAACAGTGAAGTAGGCTACTCACTGCCATGTTTGTTACAGTATAGCATCTCAGAGATCTTGAATAGATTAATTATTAGAATGTATTACTCCTCCACACAAGTGCGTGACGTCATTGCCGACAGTCTAATATTGTTGAACCAATGGCTGCATCTGAAATCGCATATACTCTACTTATTTTAAATGTGTAATTACTCCATGACCGCTAAAAAAGTATGTTCTATATACAGGTCCTTCTCAAAAAATTAGCATATTGTGATAGTTCATTATTTTACATAATGTAATGATAAAAATTAAACTTTCATATATTTTAGATTCATTGCACACCAACTGAAATATTTCAGGTCTTTTATTGTTTTATTACTGATGATATTGGCATACAGCTCATGAAAACCCAAAATTCCTGTCTCAAAAAATTTGCATATAATGAAAAGGGTCTCTAAACGAGCTATTAACCTAATCATCTGAATCAACTAATTAACTCTAAACACCTGCAAAAGATTCCTGAGGCTTTTAAAAACTCCCAGCCTGTTTCATTACTCAAAACCACAATCATGGGTAAGACTGCCGACCTGACTGCTGTCCAGAAGGCCATCATTGACACCCTCAAGCAAGAGAGTAAGACAGAAAGAAATTTCTGAACAAATAGGCTGTTCCCAGAGTGCTGTATCAAGGCACCTCAGTGGGAAGTCTGTGGGAAGGAAAAAGTGTGGCAAAAAACGCTGCACAACGAGAAGAGGTGACCGGACCCTGAGGAAGATTGTGGAGAAGGACCGATTCCAGACCTTGGGGGACCTGCGGAAGCAGTGGACTGAGTCTGGAGTAGAAACATCCAGAGCCACTGTGCACAGGCGTGTGCAGGAAATGGGCTACAGGCGCCACATTCCCCAGGTCAAGCCACTTTTGAACCAGAAACAGCGGCAGAAGCGCCTGACCTGGGCTACAGAGAAGCAGCACTGGACTGTTGCTCAGTTTTGCATGTCATTCGGAAATCAAGGTGCCAGAGTCTGGAGGAAGACTGGGGAGAAGGAAATGCCAAAATGCCTGAAGTCCAGTGTCAAGTACCCACAGTCAGTTATGGTCTGGGGTGCCATGTCAGCTGCTGGTGTTGGTGCACTGTGTTTTATCAAGGGCAGGGTCAATGTAGCTAGCTATCAGGAGATTTTGGAGCACTTCATGCTTCCATCTGCTGAAAAGCTTTATGGAGATGAAGATTTCATTTTTCAGCACGACCTGGCACCTGCTCACAGTGCCAAAACCACTGGTAAATGGTTTACTGACCATGGTATTACTGTGCTCAATTGGCCTGCCAACTCTCCTGACCTGAACCCCATAGAGAATCTGTGGGATATTGTGAAGAGAAAGTTGAGAGACGCAAGACCCAACACTCTTAAGGCCGCTATCGAAGCATCCTGGGCCTCCATAACACCTCAGCAGTGCCACAGGCTGATTGCCTCCATGCCACGCCGCATTGAAGCAGTCATTTCTGCAAAAGGATTCCCGACCAAGTATTGACTATTGAGTGCATAACTGAACATAATTATTTGAAGGTTGACTTTTTTTTTTGTATTAAAAACACCTCTTTTATTGGTCAGATGAAATATGCTAATTTTTTTAGACAGGAATTTTGGGTTTTCATGAGCTGTATGCCAAAATCATCAGTATTAAAACAATAAAAGACCTGAAATATTTCAGTTGGTGTGCAATGAATCTAAAATATATGAAAGTTTAATTTTTATCATTACATTATGGAAAATAATGAACTTTATCACAATATGCTAATTTTTTGAGAAGGACCTGTAGTAGGAATGTGTGCAGTCCATCGAATGCACACTCGCCAGAAGAAGTAGGTCATCCGGGTACTTTTTATGAGTACTGTGAATTCGGACATACTACTGCTTATACCTATTATATACAGGTACTAGGAAAGTATCCGATTTCGGATGCAGCCATAATGATTCAAACGACAGAGGTGTGACGATGTTACTACGATTTCGGGAAACAGTCATGGTTTGTTTCTCCAACGATGCATCGTGCTATGGTATAGCGAGTTACATCATTGTTCGGGAAACACACCCCTGGTTGGCCAATAGCCACCATCAGTAAACTTGCAAATCCGTGGGGAAAAATTACTTAAAATTGTGAGAGAAATTCCAAATTTCAAGAAATAAAGTTTAAAAAAAATGCTATTTCCTTTTTTTTCTTATTCTGTGGCAGAAACAGTTTTTACAGTAATTTGACAATGTTTTTTGGAATCAGACCCCAGTGTAAATATAGCCTAGCTTATTTTTCTAACTGGATTTGGTTGTCAGACATATTGATTTATGCAGATAATGGACATAAAACAACAAACTACCTGTTCATGCAAACATAAAAATTCAAGTCTCCTTCTACATATTCTTGTGGACATCTTAACGTCACCAGGATGGAAATTTGGCTATAATTTTACAAAAAAGAATTTCATAACACATTTCATAACACAGCTTTCTCCAAAAGCCATTTTCTTCAGTGCATGTAAATATTGTCAGTGTAATGTCTATTTTGCTTTATTTAAAGACGAGGGATGAGTCGAAATGCATATTTGTGGTAATCAACATTATGATACAAATGCTGTAGATTGAACCAACTGTAAAGTTCATTTTATAAGCTGTGAAAATGAATAAATGGAAAAATCATCCTCTGATTCATAAAGAATGGCCACAAACTGCGTGTCAATGAAAAGTATTGATTCCATGAAACATCCACTTAACTTTAAACAGTTTAAGTGGAGTGACAGTGACAAAAAGAGTGTTTTCCTCAGAGTTTTGAGGATTTTTTCATTACGAACAGCGTTTAACTGCTGCTATGTTTTAGTCTAAATAAGGGAGAATCTCTTGAACCCAGCTGTGTGTCCATGAAGAGTGACCAGTCAAGAGATGATGTAATCAACTTCAGTTCAGGAGACTCTTCTACTGATCTGAGGTAAGGACAATGTTATGGTTCATTAGTCTTGTGTAACCAGACCTTCAGACTGACAACAGAAGGTCTGGACTCCCTAGCAGCTTTCATTGGCCAATGACTTCCCAAGAGGCTGTCTGACTGACATGTAAAGCAACCAATGGCAGTTTGTGTTGTTCAGCGTCATGAAAAAGTTGATGTCCCTACAATAACAGACCGGCGTGTAAAAATCTTGGATGTCTTTTAAAGAGTTTATGCCGTGAACTTCACATACTTCACACTAAAATCCAGCGTTTCGTTGATCCTGATAAGTGCTCATTGTCACAGTTACACAGCGCTTTCTTCTTCTTTGAGATGATTTGGCTTCATGACAGCTTTGTTTCCAACGTACCGTTAAAGAATGTCTCCCGGAAATCTGTAAAATTCAACCAATCAGATGACAAAAAGCTCCCAAAGTGTTTCCAATTTTGTGTGCCTTATAAATCAGACATTCAGCCAACGGTCCATAGGTCTTAGCTAGCTTGAGACTATATTTTATTGGTTTGCAATGTGGTTCTTTAGGTTAAAAAAATAAAGTTTAAAATAAAAAATGTATGTTAAAAGAATCGCCAATTAACACTCGCTCCACCACACCCGTCCTGCTCGTCACAATTGGATAAAAGAGACGTGCAACCTAGTCTAGCCTTGTGTAGCCAGAACTTTGCCTAATGGCATAAGATCTGAGCTCTATAGCCAATGCAATCGACCATAGACACACTAATTAATTAAAATCACTCTGGAATCCAAAAGGTTGGCCAAGGTCAAAAATGTTTACTTTTTCCTTAGCCCGTGGGATAACATAAGAAAACAATTCTTTACAATTCAACTAGATTTAGACTTCTATTATGCTGCATAGTTAGTAGAGGAAAAAGGGATTATCAACTTTAATGAGGAGAAACTGCTATAAATACATTTTAATGTATGGTTTATAGACATTATGGGCCCTATTTTAACGATCTAAGCACGTGGTCTAAAGCACAGGGCGCAAGTGGTCGGGAAAAATGGTCGGCGCGCGCGGCGCATGGTCTGAAAGAGCTGTCCATTTTCTCTTAATGAGTAATGGGTGTGTTTTGCGTAACGTGAAATAAACCAACCAGAGTCTCATCTCCCATTCCCTTTAAAGGCCAGTTGCGCTCGCTCCATGGCAGATTGCTATTTGCATGACAGACTTTGCAAGGGGAAAGACTGAGCTCCACTCTGCGTCATGCAGGCGGAAACTAGCAAAACACACTTGCAACGCGCTTGGTGCTGCATTGCGCCGGGTGTATGATAGGGCCCGATGTATTTTTGCATAATAAACAATGTTGAGTTGGATATTGAGATCCTGATTTAAGATATCAAACTTAAGGTATAGCCTACTGGTGCACTGCTAAAAAAAAATTTTTTAAAGTGTCTTGTAAAACCATGGGACTATTGAAAAATACACACATTCACATTGACATTCATCAATGGTATGGATGTTGTGAACTTAATATATTTATTTTTTACCAGAAAACTCAATGAGAAGGAAGAGGTTCAATTGCTTGTCCAGAGGAAGACGAACCCGACAGATCTCGGCAGTACGCTACAGACAAGTAAGAGCTTGGAACTGTTAAATAATATAAAACCTCACAGACCCCTTTATATTAAGTGTCTTTAAGTACATTGTACAACCATTTAAATTAATTATTTGAAACAATGCACTTTGCTGTGTACATGCATGTTTTTAAACTGTAATTATATTTAAATAATACCTGCATATAATTACACATTTAATTGATTTCTGTAATTACATCTAATACACTCTTGACCCTTCCCTTACACCTTAACCCACCCTTAAACCTATCCTTATCCCACCTCAATAGCAGCAAAAGTGTTTTGTAATTCAGCATCAACAACAACATTGTAGTTAACAATTGATTTTATTTTGACGTAAGTACATAGTAGGTAAAGACATCTACTATAAGTGGGATCAAACTTAGAGCTGATAGCAACTTGGAAACAACCAATTTATAGACAGCATAGTGTGATTTAATAGTATATAATAATCAATGAAGAAAAGGCGGAGCTGGTTTGACATTAAAGACACATTTTGTCAGGGGGTATTTACAGAAAGCAGGGATAACTTATGTCACATAAACTCTCTCGATTGATTAACCCAAAACTTTTTGTAACCAAATGATGAGGTTAGGTTATCAAGTAAAACAAGCAGCTGTAAAAATATGATTCACCAGTGTTTTGCCGGATGAGAAGTTTATCTATTTATCATATTTTTACTCTTTTAATTCCTTTTAAAACTCTTTTAATTTTCCTTGCTTTTATTTTGTGATTATTTTAATTCCTTTCTGTGTAAAGCACTTTGAATTACCATAGTGTATGAAATGTGCTATATAAATAAACTTGCCTTGCCTTATCCACCTACTCTGTGCAAACTTACCCAGGTAAATCACATAACCTGTTCTCTTACGAGAGGTTCTCTCGTATTGCGTAAGCTAGCTTACGCTACGGGAAAGATTAATCTTTTCTGAAATATTGAAGCCAAAAAATTATCCTTAATTTTGTATCCATTGTCAACGCAGTGCAGCAGCTGCAGACCTTGAGCGGGCTAGCTAGCGAGCTCATTGGTCGCTCTGCGGCTACTGCTGCAGCCTATTATAGACGAACTGAATGAACTTGCGTCCAATGAGAGGCGCTCGTGCCTTCATCACGTCACAGCCCGCCAAACTGGGCGTGGCTAGAGTGTATATTAGCGAGGTTTGAAGGCTGCATCCCTGATTTTCATCTCTTCAGCGAAACTCTTCGCATCTCTGAACTGCAGAAGCCGTGTCGCCGTCCGAGGGGCATTTTAGCGAGCTTGGACAGCGCTTGAAGAAGCCGGCCGTCTTCGCCACCTTCAGCCATCGGGCGAGCTACGCCATCCGGCGACATATCCTTTTAAGCTAAATATTCTGTATTCTGTGTTCTACACTTCCTAAAAGAGCAGCGAGACGTCTTTTTCAAGATGTCTCGCACTTCCTGTGGCTCGTGCAGAGCCGCTCAGCGTTGGAGACCGTCACCTGCGCTCTCTGCCTGGGCCAGGAACACACCCTCTCGTGGAGGATGCGAGCACTGCGAGGAACTTCCGATGTCGACCCTGCGGGCTCGAATCGAAGTCTTTAACCATAGCGCCCGCGCGGCTAGCTCTCTTTACGTTACAAGAGAGCTACCCCGCCCTCGCGCCCCCATTTTGCGCGTCATGCAGAGCCCTCTCGAGCTCTCTGCATGACCCGGACGGGCATCAGCTATGTCGCATGTAGGTCCCGTGCCCACTACTAGTGCACGCGCCCTCATACAAACACTATTCCCGGTAACTGCTCGACCAACGAGCACGCGGCTAGCTCTCTTTACGTTACAAGAGAGCTACCCCACCCTCGCGTCCCCGTTTCGCGCGTCATGCAGAGCCCTCTCGAGCTCTCTGCATGACCCGGACGGGCTTGCGCGCCGCCGTCGAAATGTCTCGTCTCGCCCTGTCAGTCCCCTTAGAAAAGGCTACTGCAGCGGTGTATTCGGCAGCCAACGTGCCGGTAATGCAACCCGCTCGCCTGCACACATCCGCCGTTCTCGCGGCGACCCAGAAAAATCTCAAAGTGAGTACAATGTCTGGTTATCCGGCTCACGCCGTTGGTGTCTTGAGTGTAGAAAATGTGCCCACATCTCGGTGTTCACCCCTACACACAAGCACCCCCCCCCCCCCCCCCCTTGTGTCTCTCGCAGAGTCCAAGTGCTAGATGTAGAAAACGTGCCCACAACTCTGTGCTCACGCCTATTTTCTGCCCGCTCTGTCACACGGCCAGAACAGCCAGCTGTCGCTGTCAGCGAGCCGCCGTATTTGAGTACTCATATTGGTAAGGCTATGAATGAAAGTTACGTGCCCGCCCACGAGCGCTCACGCTTACTAAGCAGACACACCGCCTCCGGCGCTGCTCGCACATTACAATGTTTTCACAAAACGTTTCCCGTTCAAGCAACCGGGACGTCACATGCAGAATAGCCAGCTGTCGCTGTCAGCGAGCCGCCGTACTCAAGTGCTCATTACTGGTCGGGCTGTGAATGTAAGTCACCTGCCCGCTCACGAGCGCACACGCTTACTGGCAACGCTCACACGGCCATTAAAGACTCATATCAGTCAGGTTATGAATGTAAGTCACGTGCCCGCCCACGAGCGTTCACGCTTACTAGCACATACCTCTCCCCGAGCGCCGCCCACGCATCTAAGAGTGACTATAAAACGCCGCCCATCCCAAGCGATCGGGGCGTCACTTATAACTGTAAGTCCTGTGCCCGCTCAGAAGCACTCATGCTTACTAATAAACACTCTGCCCATAGCGCTGCGCTCGTGTCTCAAGACGATAAAAAAAAAAAAAAAAACGCTCCCCGTCCAAAGCGATCGGGGCGTCACACTCATATGTAAGCCTCGTGCCCGCACACAAGCGCTCACGCTTACTAATAGACAATTACGCTCCCCGTGTCCCTATCAGAGCCCACTCCCATAAAGCGGGCACAGCCCGCTCGAGTGTTAGAGTCAATAAACGAGCCCCCCCCTCTCTGCCCGCTCTGTCACACGGCCAGCCATCACTTCTCTGTATGTAAGTCCCGTGCCCGTGACTATGCTCGCGCATCACTAAACAGATGTGACTCTTTCCCCATTCACCTCAATCGGGAATTCACTCACAGAACAGCCTGTTCCTGCTGTTTGCGAGCCGTCATGCATAAGCACAGTAAGCGCGCTCACACATTCTGTTCAGCTCGCTGTGTGCGGCAATCAGGGCGATTTGGCCATCCACCCTCTGGCACTATACTTCAAAGCGTGGTAAGCTATCCCAGGAATATCCAAATGGGTGTTAAGCACGATAAAACAAGGTTATTTGCTACAGCTCGATCACCGCCCTCCCAGCTTCCGAGCGCGGCTCGAAACGACTGTGAACACGGCAGCAGCCTGCATGCTTCGTTCAGAAATAGCAAACCTTCTGTGCAAAAGGGCCATAGAGAGAGTGCCGCCTTCTCTGAGCGAGTCGGGGTTTTACAGCCTTTATTTTCTTGTTCCCAAGAAAGAAGGCGGCCTCATACCGATTTTGGATCTCAGTTTTTTGAACAGGGTGCTTGTGAAAAGACCGTTCAAAATTCTTACAGTCAGGAAACTCCTCGCGCACATGCGCCAGGGGGACTGGTTTATTTCTCTCGATCTGAAAGATGCCTATTTTCAGATTCAGATAAATCCCCGTCACAGGCCATTCTTGAGATTCACCTTCGACGGTCAGGTTTATCAATACACCGTCCTTCCGTTCGGCCTGTCCCTAGCACCCCGTACTTTCACAAAGTGCATGGACGCGGCGCTCGCACCCCTGCGGAGCCAGGGCTTGCGAATATTGAACTATTTGGACGATTGGCTGATTTTGGCACAATCACACACGGAGCTGCTGTCTCACAGGACAGTTTTTCCTCAGTCATCTGAACAGCTTGGGTCTCACAATCAATTGGACCAAGAGCTCACTTCAGCCCAGTCGAGCGATTTCCTTCCTTGGAATAGAGCTGGACTCCGTGGCTATGACGGCTCGCTTATCAACACAGCGCGCGCGCCGTGTTCAGCGACTAGCCGCATCTTTTCAGATGAACAACCTCACGCCTCTAAAACAATTTTAGAAAATGCTAGGTTACATGGCCTCAGCCTCAGCAGTACTCCAGCTGGGTTCACTGCGCATGCGCCCGCTTCAACATTGGCTAAACACCCGCGCGTTTCGCCGGGCTTGGGCCACAGGCCGCCAGCCGATCAGAGTGACTCAGACCTGTATCTGAGCTCTGCAGCCCTGGACAGTGGCCGAATGGTATCAACGGGGAGTGATGATGGGAGCTGTATCTTGCCGAAGAGTCATCTCGACAGACGCGTCCAACACGGGTTGGGGCGCGGTCTGCGAGGGCTTACCGGTGTTTGGCCTATGGTCAGTGCAGGAAAAGCTCCTTCACATAAATTGTCTGGAAATGATAGCGGTCGAGTACGTGCTCGTGCGCTTCCTCCCGGTCATTCAGGGTCACCACGTCCTGGTCCGTTCGGACAACAGATCTGTGGGATCCTATCTAAACCGTCAAGGTGATGTCAGGTCCAGGAACCTCTTCCATCTGACAGAACGCATACTGAGTTGGTCCCAGCGCCATCTGCGCTCGCTGAGAGCGACGCATGTGCCAGGCCACCTGAACGACGGCCCAGACAGACTGTCCAGAGACAATATTCCCCCAGGGGAATGGTCCCTGCATGCTCTATCAGTCCAGATGTTATGGCACCTATTCGACAGAGCAGAGAAAGACCTCTTTGCGTCAGAGGAGAACTCTCACTGCCCAGTATTTTTCTCGAAAAGCGAGGACGCGCTGGCCCAGGACTGGCCCAACCGCCCGCTTTACGCCTTCCCTCCCGTCTCGCTATTGCCACAGGTAATGCAGAGGATCAGGGAAACGCGCTGCTCGGTGCTCCTCATAGCCCCGCGCTGGGAGAATCAGACATGGTTTCCGGAGCTTACGCAGCTGTCACTGACAGCCCCGTGGCCCATTCCAGTGAGATCAGATCTCCTCTCTCAAGCTCGCGGCACGATCTGGCATCCCCACCCAGAGCGCTGGGCGCTGGGCGCTGCACGCGTGGGTGATCAATGACTACCCGTCGCTTTGCCAGAGGAAGTTATGAACACTATCAGACACTCTAGAGCTCCTTCCACAAGAAGACTCTACGCGTCCAAATGGTCTGTGTTTTTAAAATGGTGCACCGACAGAGATCTGGACCCACGGACATGTGGGGTTTCAACGCTGCTCGTGTTTCTACAAGAGCTATTGGATAAGGGCAGGTCCCCATCCACGCTCAAAGTATACGTGGCGGCCGTCGTGGCGTTCGCTGAACCCCTGCACGGCCAGTCACTAAAAAAAAAAAAAAAACGAGCTGGTCATCCGCTTCCTCAGGGGAGCTAGAAGGATGAACCCCCCGCGCCCCCCATCGGTTCCTATCTGGGATCTTTCTATAGTTCCCGAAGCTATGAAAGCCCCTCCTTTCGAACCGCTTCAATCCGTGGATGTGAAATACCTCTCACTCAAAACTGTTTTTCTGACTGCCTTGTCATCAGTTAAACGTGTGGGAGACCTTCATGCGCTGTCTGTCAGCACCACATGTCCACATGTCTCGAAACAGACACTGTCTAGATGGATAGTGGACGCTATTGCTGCTGCGTACGCGTCAAAAGACCTGCCATGCCCGTTAGGCATTAGGGCTCACTCTACTAGAGGCATGCCTCCTCGTGGGCGTGGTCCAGCGGGTTTTCCATTCACGACATATGTGTGGCAGCGGGCTGGGCTTCCCCCTCCACCTTTGTCAGATTTTACAATCTGGAAGTACCCGCTCTGCAGGCAAAATTACTAGCGGTCTAATACGCTACAGCTCTCCTGGTGAGCTGCACTGATGGGAAACTTTCCACAGGCCGACACTGCCGCTCTGTCTCTCTTCCCACTATGTGCTTATGTATTACATACACACTGGCCCGCACTCTTGCTGGCCAAAATGCTTTCCCCACTCATAGGGCTCCTCTGGGTTTTCTCCCCCTGGGCTCATGCTGTGGATGCTTGGCGCGCACGGCGTTGACAATGGGTTCCCGTAGCGTAAGCTAGCTTACGCAATACGAGAGAACCTCTCGTAAGAGAACGAATCGGTTACCTAACGTAACCTCGGTTCTCTCTAGATGAGGGAACGAGTATTGCGTAGCCGGCCGTGCTCGCGCCACGAGCGTTTTTCGCTTCATTCTATGAAAACCAGGGATGCAGCCTTCAAACCTCGCTAATATACACTCTAGCCACGCCCAGTTTGGCGGGCTGTGACGCGATGAAGGCGCGAGCGCCTCTCATTGGACGCGAGTTCATTCAGTTCGTCTATAGCAGGTGTGCCCAACCCTGCTCCTGCCGATCGACTGTCCTGCACAGTTCATCTCCAACCCTAATCAAACACACCTGAAGCAACCAATTAAGGTCTTCAGGATCTGAAGCAACCAATTAAGGTCTTCAGGATCACTTGAAAATTAAAGGCAGGTGTGTTTAATTAGGGTTAGAGATAAACTGTGCAGGACAGTCGATCGGCAGGAGCAGGGTTGGGCACCCCTGGTCTATAGGCTGCAGCAGTTGCCGCAGAGCGACCAATGAGCTCGCTAGCTAGCCCGCTCAAGGTCTGCAGCTGCTGCACTGCGTTGACAATAGATACAAAATTAAGGATAATTTTTTGGCTTCAATATTTCAGAAAAGATGAATCTTTCCTGTAGCGTAAGCTAGCTTACGCAATACTCGTTCCCTCATCTAGAGAGAACCGAGGTTACGTTAGGTAACCGATTCGCTTTCTAGAATACCCCTCAGAAGTAGGCTCATAGTTAGATTTTTAGTAATGCAGTAGTCTGACTGTTAGAGCATGCTGCTAAAAATGCTAAGTTCATGTGTTTGATTTTTAGGATTTTAAATGTACCCCTTGCATTGTAAGTCACTTTAAATATAAGGCATGGCAAAAACTACTCTGTTCTATTGTAATTTCTGTTAATAATTTTCTTTAGAATTTCCCCCTATTTATCTGCAAAAACACAAATCCAGACTGGGAGAGAAATTCCAGAGGCTAAATGAAGGAATATCATATCAAGGGAACTTAACACTTTTGAATGAGATCTATACAGAGCTCTACATCACAGAGGGAGACAGTGGAGAGGTCAATAATGAACATGAGGTTAGACATATTGAGATGTCCAGAATGCCAGAGATGCAGGAAATACCAATTAAATGCAATGACATCTTTAAACCCTCACCTGGACAATACAAACCCATCAAAAGTGTGCTGACACGAGGAGTTGCTGGCATTGGAAAAACAGTGTCTGTACAGAAGTTCATTCTGGACTGGGCTGAGGGAAAAGCAAACCAGGACGTCCACCTCATAGTTCCACTTCCTTTCAGGGAGTTAAATTTTATGAAGGAGGAAAATATCAGTCTAATGGAGCTTCTCCATCAATTTTTCTCAGATATTAAGGAACTGAGATCAACAGACCTAAATGATTACAAAGTTATGTTTATCTTTGACGGACTTGATGAGTGTCGACTTCCTTTAAATTTTCGAACCAATCAGACCTTGTCTGATATCACACACTTAGCTTCAGTGGATGTGCTGCTGACCAACATCATTAAAGGGACACTGCTTCCTTCTGCTCTCATATGGATAACCTCTCGACCAGCAGCAGCCAATCAGATCCCTTCGGAGTGGGTTGATCAGGTGACAGAGGTACGAGGATTCAGTGATCCTCAGAAAGAAAAATATTTCAGGAAGAAGATAAATGATCAGAATCTAACCAACAGAATCATCTCACATATCAAATCATCAAGAAGCCTATACATTATGTGTCACATACCAGTCTTTTGCTGGATCTCAGCCACTGTTCTAGAGACAATGTTGGGTGAAGCAGTGAGTGCAGAGATCCCCAAAACTCTCACTCAAATGTTCACACACTTCCTGATATTTCAGACCAAACTAAAGACCCATAAGTATGATGAAAAAAATGAGGTAGATCTTCACAAGGCCAGAAAGTATATTTTTTCACTGGGCAAATTGGCATTTGAACAACTGGAAAAAGGGAACCTAATCTTCTATGAGGAGGACCTGAGACAATGTGGCATTGATGTCAGAGAAGTGTCAGTGTACTCAGGAGTTTGTACCCAGATTTTTAGAGAAGAGTTTGGGCTGTGTCTGGGGAAGGTGTACAGCTTTGTGCATCTGAGCATTCAGGAGTTTCTTGCTGCTTTATATAGGTTTCTCTCCTTTGATTCAGACAAGAAACACAAGTCAGAAATAACCAGTTTTCAAAAGAAGGAAGTGGACAAGGCTTTGCAGTGTGAGAACGGACACATGGATCTTTATCTGCGCTTTCTTCTGGGTCTCTCACTGGAGTCCAATCAGAGTCTCTTGCGAGGCCTTCTGACTCATACAGGAAACCTGTCTCACAGCAGTCTGGAAATAGTTGAGTACATCAAGGAGAAGATCAGGGAAATTGACATTCCAGAGAAATCCATCAATCTGTTTCACTGTCTGAATGAACTGAATGATCATTTTCTAGTGCAGGAAGTCCAAACATACCTGAACGGAACTCGTGCCAGTCGTCTCTCTGATGTTAGTCTCTCTCCTGCTGAGTGGTCTGCTTTGGTGTTTGTGTTACTTAACACAGAAGAGGAACTAAATGAGTTTGAACTAAGTAAATACCATCAATCAGAAGAAGGTCTTCTGAGGCTGCTGCCAGTGGTCAAAGTATGCAGAAAAGCTAAGTGAGTATTTTCATTGCTTTACTACTTCATGTATATTTAATAAAATAATAAATATTGAATTGTGTTTGCACTTACTTACATTTTATATTTTGGATTCAATATTTTATTTTAATATAACTTTTAAATTCTATAATTTACACTAAAGTATGTGTTTATTGTTTATATGAATTGTAAAACTGTATTATTACGTTAATATGTAACTAATATGTAGTTAGTATGTTTAACAATGCAGTTTACCAAACACTTATTATTATTATTATGCTTTCTCCCAGTCTGAGTGGCTGTTATCTCACATTGAAAAGCTGTTCAATTCTGGCCCAAACTCTCAGACATTTGAGAGAGCTAAACCTGAGTCATAATGACCTGCAGGATTCAGGACTGAAGCGACTCTCTGTTGGACTAAATAATGCTCACTGTAAACTCAGGACATTAGAGTAAGTATGTCTTCACTGCAATTAGTAGTTACTAAATATGAGTGGGAATAACAGATTATAAGTTACACTGCAGTAATGACATGTAGTCTAAGAAAATATGAGGTAGCAGGTCTTGGTTTATATTTAGTTTGATCTTTATCTAGGTAGTAATTTTCTGTCCTTGCATTGGCCGTTTATCCTTGTCTTTTGTTTACAGTGACACTGCATTGCATCAATCAATCCAACACTCACTGTTTATTCGACACCTCAGTCACATGCTTTTAACTTGTTATTGACCTGTTAAATTTGTGTTAGTGTGAGGAGTTTTCTCTCTCTCTCTCTCTCTCTCTGCAGGCTGTATAACTGCAGAATTGGTGAGGAAGGTTTTTCTGCTCTGGCTTCAGCTTTAAGGTCAAACCCCTCGCACCTGCGAGAACTGGATCTGAGCTGGAATAACCCAGGAGTCTCAGGAGTTATGTTGCTGTCTGATCTACTGAAGGATCCACACTGTAACCTAGAAAAACTACAGTGAGTGTTATTTTTGTAAAGTATTCATTACTTCAATGTTTAAATTAATACATTTTTAGCTAACTGTGATTTGTATATGTACATTTCTGAAATACATAACTTAGACAGTTACCTCTGATAACAGATCACTCTAAATTGTAATGTGGACTCATGCATTTTCTGTAAAGCTGCTTTGAAACTGTGTGTATTGTGAAAAACGCTATACAAATAAATGTGAATTGAATATTATAAAACAGTTAATTGGATTATTTTGCCTATCTCATCTGTCTCTCTCTCTGTTTCACCTGGTCCTGCCAATGGTTGGATGGTGTGCTGAAGGTATCTGGTTAGAAATGTTGCATTATTCCAAATAAATAGATTGAGATTCACAAAAATGTAAAGGGATTCACATAAAATGACATGAAATCAATGAAATGATTTACAAATGTGTTTTATGTAACAAACACAACTCTGACCAATCGTAGCACGTCCTCGCTTGGTTATGAGTTGGTTATGTTAGTAACATGAAAAAACAAAACGTTTATTCAAATTGGGAATAAACTATATATAAAGTGAGCAAAGAACATTCCCCATCACCATCACTGAAGCACCATCACTTGCACAAGGTCACTGAGTTAGGTCTTTCCAAAAAAAAAAAAAAAAAAAAAAAAAAAAATCGTGATTGCTTGTTTACATTGCATCTGCACTTTGTTGTTAATTGATGAATCCACAAGAGTGCCGAATTCAGCCAGTGAGCATGCGCAGACTGTACACTGAACAAAAGTTATTGTTTATAATGCTCAATGTTGCAAAAAATGTATTGTATAAGTCTTGGATAGCAATGTGAGCAGATTAAATATATTTCCACAGAGGCCTCTGATAATTGCATATTGACCTGGTGTCACTGACACTAACTGCTTTAATTTAGTGTAGTGCAGTGTGTCACTTGATTCGATGCTTACATTTTATTGGACACCTCAGTCACATGCTTTTAATCCATAATGTAATTTTACCTGTTGTGTGTGTGTAAGGAAAGTTAGGAAGGTTTGCAGGTTTAAGGAAGGTTTATTTTTCTCTCTGCAGGCTGCAAAGATGCAGTATTGGAGAGGAAGGTTTTTCTGTTCTGGCTTCAGCAATGAGATCAAACCACTCACACCTGAGAGAACTGAATCTGAGCTCTAATAAACCAGGAGATTCAGGAGTGAAGCAGTTATCTGATGTACTGGAGTATCCGCAGTGTAAACTGGAGAAACTACAGTAAGTGATAGACAACCAGCACCCACCTAGGATACCAACTGCTCCCTTTTTCCAGGCTTGATAGAGCAAACAGTGCAGGACCCTTAATATACTCAGCTGCCATATCGAGATATTATATAGAGGAGTTTCTCAATAACTCTCTGCACATTTGTCCACAGTATTTGAATTGCAAAGTGAACAAAAAGGGTAGGTACTGCAGATGCTTAATTATGTGCAACACATATGGAGTAGCATAAGCCTTGTGCCCTGATTGTTGAATCACACAGAACATGTACAACTGGTTCAGACCATGGGTTCAAAAAAGGGGTTGTTTCCAGATTGTATATATTGATTATTCCAAACTGGAGACTCAGTTGTAAACATACTAGAACTTCCCATACGTTTACAGACATAATGCCAACAACATCTTTCTATATTGTGGAAGCATATATCGATGACCAGATCGTAGTCAACAACACTGAGGAGGAGTTTGGTAAGGGATGGGGATAATCTGCATCATATTTGTTGGGAGCAAAAACTGAGATTTATTTTGAATGATTCCATGATCCCAAAGTATATGTAAACCACCCAATGCTCATCACCTCCCGTTTTCTCTATAAAGCACAGGAATCTTCAGTTCTTAAGTATAACAAATCATCTTGAAGTGCTATTATGAGATGAAGAAGCTATGAGTTCAAAGTCCCTATTTTGGCACCGAGTAACGTCAGTAGCCCTAAAGTTGTAATCTTTTGTAAGAGCTACGTCAGCTTGCTTTTGATGTAAATCAGGAATGGGCAACTTTCCTGCAGAGTCTAGCTCCAACCCTAATCAAACACACCTGAACAAGCTAATAAATGTCTTCAGGATTGTTAGAAAGATACAGGCAGGTGAGTATTTTATCAGTGTGGGCCTAAACTCTGCAGGACAGAGGACCTTCGGGACTGTTTTTGCTCACCCCTGATGTGAATATATCTTTATATGTCTTGTCTTTAAAACAAAAAAGAACTACAAAAAGAACACACTCAGCTCGGAACATAGTTGGCATAGTTAAAACAGAGAAACGGACATCTGAAGCATCCGTCAATAATTATATATTTTATCTTTTCGTGTTTTGTTGAATTTGTCCTCCATCTGTTTCTTACTAAGATACATATGAGAAAACACAAATATCTGTGCAGCATTAAAAAGTCTTTTTCATTCTGACTTCTAAGCAAAGTAAAATCTATATATGTAAATTTAACAATACTATAACTGGTTCACAAACTGCATGTGAAATACAACATGAAATACAACACAACTGTATAGATGTAACTCCCAAACAAACCCCCCCCCCCCCCCCCCCCAAAAAAAAACTTTAACATACTGTGTCTCTTATAACACTCACTTTTATCAGTTACACTTTATTTTAAAGTGTCCTTGTTACAGTGTTATTATACATTTAGGTACTGAGTAGTATTAATTAACTATATGTACTTACTATAGGGTTATGATTAGGTGTGGTTTAGGCTTTGTTGCATGTAATTATGCTTAATTTATAGTACTTTATAATAATTTCTAATTCAATTATAATTTATTACTTTAGAAACTACATGTAACGTGTAACAAGGACACTGTAAAATAAAGTGTTACCGATGTATCCAACCTGATCTCATAGGAAAACGTAACTATGCTACTAGGTGGTAATTTCGTGTGAATTCGTATAATGTGAATTGTATGATGTGAATTGTATAAAAACATGATTGTCCACCCCTAAACATACAGGGATGTAAGCAGATCTTATGAAAACATATGAAAGAGTTCGTATAAATTCACAAACTAGACACAAATTCATTGAAATGCAAAATAGTCATGAATTACCATGATATTGTTTTGGATGTCTTATATTTAACTCATCCCGCATTTGTGCGTGTGTTGATTTGTTATCACAAGTTGTATTTCTTCTTTATCTCTGCAGGCTGTCTGATTGCAGTATTGGAGAGGAAGGTTATGCTGTTTTGGCTTCAGCTCTGAGATCACACTCCTCACACCTGAGAGAACTGAATCTGAGCTCTAATAAACCAGGAGATTCAGGAGGGAAGCTTCTCTCGGATCTACTGGAGAATCCACACTCTAAACTGGAGAAACTACAGTAAGTCATAATTTTGGTAACACTTTACAATAAGGTACATTAGTTAACATTTATTGTTTGTTAATGTAAGTTAATAAAAAAACAGCTGTTCATTGTTTGTTCATGGTGCATTAACTAATGTTAACAAATACAACCTTTGATTTTAATAACAAATTAGCAAATGTTGAAATTAATATTAACCAAGATTAATAAATGCTGAAGAAGAATTGTCATTCTTAGTTCATGTTAACTAAGAGCTGACATACTCTCTAGTTACCTCAGGATGGGCATCCCAAGATTAAACAGAGAAGCAAATAAAATATAATTAGTGTACCTTCTGTTGATAACATTAAGCAAGGATAATAATGTGCATTTGATCTAAAATAAAGTATATGGTTATGAGATGCATTATATGAATGCTTGTCTAAAGAGATGCGTCTTTCATCTAGATTTAAACTGGGAGAGCGAATGAAAAAAAAAAAAAATTCTTCCCATTTTCCTTGATCTATTATCACATTTTTAGCTTTCAGCTGTTGATAATGACTGATAGGAATATACGTGTATGTCTGATTTTGTTCTTTTCAATATTTCAGTTTATTGCCTTACCTGCCAGAAGTCACCCATGCACCTGCAAACTACAAAACACCTGAACTGACGTAACAGCATTCATCATGAGGGCTTTCAGAGCTTTGAACACACACACACACACACACACACAGTTGTGTTACTAGAGTTTTGTGGTTAATAATAATATCATACTATGATACTATCCATAATGTTACAGAATGTGGTCACATTACTTTCATGCAATGATCATCAGTGACAATAACAATTGAGAAAACTGCTCTGAAATGTACACCCAAGAACCTAAAGCATGTTAAAACTATATCAAAATAATTGCAGTAATGTCTTACAGGACTATTGTAGCAGTCACTCAGGAAATATATTTTAAAAATATATTACCCTCCTAAGGAAATATACAATTTTTAAATTAAATGTCACTAATTGGTATAGTTGCCATAGTTGTATATATTTATACCATGGTCTGTCTAAATACTCGATTCTGATTTGCTGGAAGGTGTGCAATAAAACCATTAAATGCACAGGCAGTTCCAAGTCAGTTTAATCACTATTCTATATTAATGCGCTGTTTTCATTGAAACACACACACGTCACTCACACACTGCAGATTGCGCTGCACACACACAGAAGCATTCAGGACGTCAGAAATGTATCAACGCTGCCTGTGACATTTATTAATAAAATATTAAAAATATATTATAAAATTATATTTCTCACCAATGAGGGGGTTAAATTGCTACTTTGAAGTAATTAAACTCACAGCTTTGTTGTTAATAGAGAGAGACAGACACTGGACAGACGCAGGTCTTTCCCTCTCTCTTTGTATAATTAATTCAAATGAATGCTATAGTTTATTCATTCAAATAAATGTAATCTTACGCACTACTTTATCTCTGTGTCTGAGCCTTAACTGACGAAAATAACTGTAAATTTTACACTTCCGGTCAAATATTGCACTGCAAACATCAATAACAGCTTTAAATTTTCAATGCTGGCAAATGACCATGGTATAAGCAGGATTTTTTTGTTCTCGTTGTGTATAGTGTTTTTGTTCCCGTTCTTGTTTCCTAGTTTTTCTAGTGCCTTTGTCTTTTATTTTGATTAAAGTACTGTTTGCACATTGTCATGTTTGGATTTGAGTGTTATGTTTCATGTTCATGTTCAAGTTTACTTTATCAAGTTTTCGGACGCAGCCATAGACTCTCTTGTCTCTTTGAATATACACTCACCTAAAGAATTATTAGGAACACCTGTTTAATTTCTCATTAATGCAATTATCTAATCAACCAATCACATGGCAGTTGCTTCAATGCATTTAGGGGTGTGGTCCTGGTCAAGACAATCTCCTGGGGCCGGTTGCACCAGCTGTGCGTAAGTTACAACTTAGCCTAGTTTTGACGTAAATGGGCACTAAGTTACAACTTACGCAATACTAAATATTTTTCCGTTGCACCATTAAACTTAGTTTAAACGTAACTCTACGTTCCAACTAAATATTTACGGCAGCTCCGATCAGGAGTAACGGTTGGAATAAAATATCAGACAGACTGAACTGCATCAATAAGCTCTTCTTTTACCTGACAGACTTCAATTCTTTAGACATATATGATAATGCTGACATTTACACTCGCTTACATTTTAAGAGAGAGAACATTATGTGAAAAGATAACTTTGTTAGCAGCTCTTTAACACGAACCCGTCCTAAACAGCGCCGCTGTGTGCATCGGTCCATGTTGTGCATGTCAAATATCAGTCATAATCAATAAACGTAATTTCTTGTTTTTTGTATGAATATTTATTTATTGATCCTTATTAAATTCATTTCAAAAACAGTTTCTGAATGTTATTTATATATAAAAACACTTATGTTATTCATGATCAAGTATCGTATTAAATGGAAACTTATTTTTACCGTTAGTAACGTGAGGCAAAAGACGTTAGAATGAAGGATAAACTGAAATTCACGGCATTTCAACACAACTTCTGCTCACGTATTTGAAGGCTGCTATTGGTTCATCAAGGCTAAACGTAATATTATGCGACTACGCATTACTTTACGGAGAGTTTACGAACTACTAGCTAAGTTCTACCTTACGAACAAATGGTGCAACGGAATAAAGTACAGAGTTAGTTACAAACTAGCTAGTAGTTACTAAGCCTCATGTGGACTTTACGTTACAATTTAAGAAAGAAGTTACGAACGGCTGGTGCAACCCTACCCTGAACTCCAAACTGAATGTCAGAATGGGAAAGAAAGGTGATTTAAGCAATTTTGAGCGTGGCATGGTTGTTGGTGCCAGACGGGCCGGTCTGAGTATTTCACAATCTGCTCAGTTACTGGGATTTTCATGCACAACCATTTCTAGGGTTTACAAAGAATGGTGTGAAAAGGGAAAAACATCCAGTATGCGGCAGTCCTGTGGGCGAAAATGCCTTGTTGATGCAAGAGGTCAGAGGAGAATGGGCCGACTGATTCAAGCTGATAGAAGAGCAACTTTGACTGAAATAACCACTCGTTACAACCGAGGTATGCAGCAAAGCATTTGTGAAGCCACAACACGCACAACCTTGAGGCGGATGGGCTACAACAGCAGAAGACCCCACCAGGTACCACTCATCTCCATTACAAATAGGAAAAAGAGGCTACAATCATAGACAGTATAAGAAGTGGACAGAGCCATCTCATTGGAACTCAGTTGAGACAGTTGAAGCCCATTTTCAGGCGATTTTTGAGCACTTCCGTTCCTGACGCGCAGACTCAAACCGACTCAAACTAAGCTTGATGACGTGAGCAACCTGTCTGACAGACGTTAATCTTCTAGTAGCGGTGCGTGAAAATTGCCAACGTTAATCTTGCAGAGACGGGGAACTTGAGCAAAGAGTTATTTGGCGTGAGTGAGCAGGAGTAAGTATTCCGTTGCTTTTATGGACTCATTATCTATGGGCTTCTCCCTTGACGGGACGTCCCCCCGATTGCCTGCGAGCTTCTCCTCCTGTCTGTACAGTAATTTCTGTACAGCGCGACAGAGAGTCGAGTGGTTATGATGCAATCGTTAGCCTATTTTTACAAAATCTGTTTCTACAGGGCCATAATGTAACATAGAAGGTAATGGAGCCCTTTATACATTGTCGTGTTTCTTTAGAAATAAATAATGGAGAAATGGAGTCTTTAAATGCCTCAGATGTAAAGTTATTCGCTGTCAAAGTGACGCCAAAATGAATGGGAGTCAATGGTAATGCTAACGCAAGTGAAGTTCTGCTACAACATGGCGGCACCCGGCCGGCTTCAACTTCCGGTCGATGGATTACCCCCTTGGCTACAATTTGCAAGAGCTCACCAAAATTGGACAGTTGAAGACTGGAAAAATGTTGCTTGGTCTGATGAGTCTCGATTTCTGTTGAGACATTCAGATGGTAGAGTCAGAATTAGGCGTAAACAGAATGAGAACATGGATCCATCATGCCTTGTTACCACTGTGCAGGCTGGTGGTGGTGGTGTAATGGTGTGGGGGATGTTTTCTTGGCACACTTTATGCCCCTTAGTGCCAATTGGGCATCGTTTAAATGCCACGGCCTACCTGAGCATTGTTTCTGACCATGTCCATCCCTTTATGGCCACCATCCCCACCATGTACCCATCCCCTGCTTCCAGCAGGATAATGCACCATGTCACAAAGCTCGAATCATTTCAAATTGGTTTCTTGAACATGACACTAGCTGCGTTTACATGGTTCAATCGGAATGAAATCAATCCGATTGATGAATCCGAACACGGTGTTTACATGAACGATAAATAAAGTAATCGGGTTGATGTGCACGTTTATATGTCACAAGATTCAAATCGGAATTGATTTTTTGACAAGCGCACTGCGCGAATATGCCGCTGTTCGCACATAACTATTCTCCTCTATTGGTTCTTTTTTTTTTTTAAACAGCAGACTTAATATTTATCCGTCTCTGGTCATGATTTGGAGACGATGAGCATGAACCGTTTTGCCGTGCTGCTTATATTGATCACGCAGTAAAACCCCGCGCCCAAAACCAGTCGTCCATGGATGATAATCTGAAACAAGCACTGGTGGGACGTTGTCCTGCTTCACTTCACAGACGCTGAGTGAAATGAATTTTTTTTAATAACGGAACACTCATTTACATTCACTTTATTCAACAGGAAGAACAGCTCGTTCCGTGCGTCATACGTCATTACGCTATTTCAACGTCATTGCACATGTGCAGTCCTTTTAGTTTCGGTTTTTAATCCGATCAAGTGTTTACATGTTCTCTCGATCGGATTACAAAAGGAGTAAACCACCTCTTTCAATCCGATCGAAATTTCAATCGGACCGAGCTCAATCGGATCGATCAAGGTGTTTACATGAAGGTTTTTTAGTCCGATTGAGGCGTGAATCCGATTATAAGTGTCCATGTAAACACAGCTACTGA